TTGCTCAAGAAGTCCCATTGCCTATTCTTGTCATTGAAGGGGAGTGTAGTGAGGGGGGCTATCAAAAGTGCAAAGAGTTGTGGATGCTTCATAGATGATGGTGGAGGCTGGTTGGTTCCGGTGATGAGCACTCTAGGCCACTTCCAGTCTCCTCTACGACACCAAGTTTAGGTATTACACCATCTTTACCCACAATTATTGTAGATGATATGCCTACCACCACCATTGAACCTCAACCTCTCATAGATGATCTCGACCTTCCTATTGCAGTACGCAAAGGGAAATGCCGTTGCATCTCATCTACTACCATTGAATCTCTTAGTTTCATTTTTATGACCACCTTTCACCATCATATAAGTCCTTTTTAGTGTCCATTGTTGCTATACCCATTCCTAGAAGTGCAGGAAGCCCTGGTAGTACCTGAGTGAAAGGAAGCTATGAAAGTTGAAATGGATGCACTTATCAAAAATGATACTTGAGAGCTAGTAGATCAGCCAAAAGTGAAGAAACCTATTGGGTGTAGATGGGTATTTACAGTCAATGCAGATGGCTCAATTGAAAGGTACAAGGCTCGATTGGTTGCCAAGGGATACACATAAACTTATGGTATTGATTTTGTAGAAACCTTTGCACCAGTTGCCAAGATGAACACGGTCAGTGTGTTGTTGTCGCTTGCTGCAAACTTCTCATGGCCGTTGTTCTAGATGGATTTTAAAAATGCTTTCTTGAATGGTGATCTACAAGAAGTATATATGGAGTTTTCCTATGGGCTTCTATGATGAAGATATTGGAAAGAAAGTCTATTGACTAAAGAATGCTTTGTATGGTTTGAAGCAGTCTCCAAGGGCATGGTTTGACAGGTTTAGACGTGCCTTGGGAAATTCGGCTATGTACAGGCTCAATCTGATCACACTCTCTTTTTCATGAAAACAGGTTCAGCCTTAACTCTCATGGCTGTGCATGTTGATGATATTGTGGTGACAGTAATGAGATTGATTCTCTTAAGAAGTTAGTAAGGAGTTTGAGGTAAAGGATTTGGGTGATTTGCGATATCTTTTGGGAATTAAAGTTCATCTCCTAAAGGAAGTATGCCCTTGATCTCCTAGAAGAAACTGGAAAATTGGGAGTTAAACTAGCAGACACTAATTGAGGCAAATCATAAGATAAATGTGGAAGGCGGTGAGCTGCTTGAAGATAAAGCCATGTATCAATGGCTGGTTGGGAAGCTTCTCTACTTTTGCCTAACATGCTCTGATATTTCTTATGCTGTTAGTGTTGTCAGCCAGTATATGTAGTCTCTTAGAACATCCCATCTCCTTGTAGTTGAGAGAATACTTGCCTACTTGAAGAGGTGTCCAGGCAGAGGTATACTCTTTAGGAATAATGGTCATATGAAGATAGAAGTGTACACTAATGCAAATTGGGCTGGATGTGTTGATGATAGGAGATCTACCTTAGGGTACTGTGCCCTTGTTGGGGGAAATCTTGTTCTTGGAGGAGTAAGAAACAAAAGGTTGTTGCCCGCTCCAGTGCTGAAGCAGAGTATAGATCTATGGCTAATGGGGTGGTTGAAGTGTTATGGCTAAGATCACTACTTGAGGAGTTAGAAATTGAATATGAAAGGCCCCTAATGTTGTATTGTGATAACAGATCCAATGCAACATGATAGGACCAAACATATTGAGTTGGACTGACACTTAATTAACGAAAGAGTTGGTGTGCCTTCTCTATGTTGCCTCCAATATGTAGCTTGTTGATCTCTTCACCATAATTGTTACAAGGGTCAAGTTAGAGACAGACTTATGCAAGTTGGGAATGACCAATATCTATTCCCAAGTTGGGGGAGTGTGGAGAAACAATACAGTAAATTAGTGTGGTCCTTGCTTAAGTAGTTGCTGTTTTTTTTAGTTGTTATCAATCTTTTTTTGGTTACTTTTAGTTGATGTTATTGTCTGTTATTTATTTACTTGGTTGGTAGGGGTATTTACGTCATTGTAGTTCTCTTTATTTTAGAAACATATAAATAACAAATCTGGGTGGCAGAAATTGATTCAACTGCACCCTTCTCTCATTCTTCTTCTCTTCTCTTCTTTCTTTTGTTCTTTTCTCTCTTTTTCTTGCTAAAACTATACTAGGATACAGGTCAACTATGAAAAACATCGACCAACTAGACTTGATACTGATACTTTAATCTAGGGGTGCAATYGAGCCGAGCCAAACCGAACTTTGGCATGTCTTGGCTTAACTTGACTAAAATATTATACTACTAGTACTAGGTTCGAGTTCGACTCAAACTATATTTTCTAGCTCGAGCTTGGTTTGATTAAATATTCAATGAGCTCGAGTTTGGCTAGAAAGTTCGAAAATAAATATATTTGTATATTTTATATATATGATATTTTTATAATATATACTTATATTATATAAAATATAAAAATATAGTTTTATAATATATATTATAAAATACATTTTTATATTCTATAATATATTATGTATGTGTGTATGTATGCATGTGTTAATCGAGCCAAGCTCGCGAGCTTTCGAGCCAAACTTTTTATTAGTCAAGCTCAATTAGAACCGAACTCAAATTGAGCCTAATTGAATTTGAGCCCAAACTATTCGATTAGAGCTCGATTCGATTGCAACCTTACTTTAATCCTTGGTCTTGACCAAGAAAAGATTCGTCATATTGAAATGGTTATTCTTGAAGCTAAGAATCCAAGTTTTGGTGTTTCTAATTTTTTCATCACTTTGGTTCTCTAAATACCAAATTTTTAATTTGTCTTGGAACAAATATGGATCCTCTCCTACTTCAAAACTTGAGGACAGGTTGTTTTATTTTTGAACCGGGGGAGAATAATGCAGATGCAGAAGCAAAAAAAAAGATCATGGGTAAACAACAAATTCTCCAATTCCTATACCAATTTCAGAATTTTTGGGTTATAAAGATTGGTTTAATGAATTTTGTTTGTTGCCAGAAAATTTTCTATTCTCTCTCCTCTCTCTCTCTCTCTTATTTCTTATTTTAAGCTCTCTTTTTTGTTTACCCTAACAGCAAGAGTTGACCTCTCTCTTCTAATTTCTTACTCATTCTTTGGTGCACAAGAAGAACTTTACTTGCTTTTCCATCCATATTCTTCATCTCTAATTACCCACAGCCCTTATTCATCCCCGAAAGCTCACCACCAAATTCTAAATTAGTAGGACCCTACCCTGTCCAACATTTATAATGTGGGAGGAGAGGAGAGAAACTTGGGATTTAGTTATGCATTTAATAGTGGAGAAATTTTAGCACTGAATGACATACAACTTCCTTATCCATAGGGAATTGATAGATAGTGAGGGGAGGAGTCCACGTATAACTTTCCTTTACACTCCAAAGAAAGTTGGTATTTAAAAAAATTCAAAAAAAAGGGAAATCTAGAAGGGGTGAAGGAGAGTGGAGAGGGGATGCTGACATGAATAACTGTATTTTAGAATATAGTATAGATGAGTGATTTCTTTGGTTTTTCTTTGTTTTGGATGCTGTCATCCTTATATTCCAAACCACCTCATGACCTCTCCATATTCAATCACCCTTTCTGGTTTACTATTTTAAATACTCCCTAAAATAGTTTGAAGAAATTCCACTCCTATCTGAAGATGCTGACATTTTTGCTCTCTCTAAAAGTTTGTACACAATATAATAAATTTTGTCCTAAAACCATCCTAATAAAATCAGATAGCCCTATAACCATAGATGAACCATCTTCTGCCTTCCACAAACGTATCCCTTGCCCCACAAACTCAAAGCTTAGGCTTAAACCCTAGAAAATATCAACTCAGTTTTTAGTCCAGCCTTGGATCATGCCAATCTTACATGAACCACTAATAGAGCAGTTGGCCCTACATGAAAAATGGACATGGCCTGGAAAGGGGTGAGTTTGAAGGAGGAGCAATATTTGTTTGAATGGAGTTTTAGGAGAGGTAGGTTGGAGAAATAAGGAGTAGAAAAGTTGGGGGAGTAGTAGGGATATGCCTTACATCTATGCTTATGTGAAATGTCTGTCTTATACTTTTTTTTTTTTTGGTAAATTAGGGTTGGGTTCAGGTGGAGTGGAGATGCTTATGGGTGCTCCTAATGTTTTAAATATCGTAATCGTATCGTAAATCGTAGAGAAAGTTGAATCAAATCGAATTGTGAATCGTATCATAAATCGTAAGATTATTTCTATTTTTGACAAACTTGTCAAAAAATTAAATATAGACATACTAAAAGGCTAAATATATATAGGAAAGTGACTTTACCCTATTTTTAATTTATATCTACCATATATATACTTAAAACAGTAGAATTTACCACTTATACAATAGAAGCCTAAGATGATACAATCAAGTTTGACTTGAAAATAAATAAAATCTACATACAATGTCCCTTTAACTTACACATGATCTAAATAAACTCAATTTCTAGTCTTGAATATTGTAAATAAATCATTTTCTAGTAAGGGATTTAAAAAAAGTCTCCCATGACAAAACTAAATATAAACAAAAAAAGTAGAGAAGTAATTCTTAATTGGATTTATATGAATCGTAAAAATCGTATAATTGTATAAATCATAAGATTTTTGAATCAAGTCGTAGTTTTCAAACAAAAATTGTAAATTTTTTTGCAGAAAAGGATTCAAACATAAGGTTAGAGTTGAAACCCTTGGGATTCATGATTCAAATTGTGAATTGTATCGTAAATCGTAAGATTTTGACAACATTCTCCTAGTCTGTCTTGTTAAAGTTGTTGGTTCTCTTCTGGTGTTTTGTCGGTTTCTGGTGTTCATAATATGGCAGTGTTACAACAATGTATACTTTGTTTCATGTTGGTTGTTCATTTGCCTTTTACTCCAATCTTCTTGAATGCCTCTTATATACTTCTCTCTCTCTCACTCATAAAAAAAGTTCTTACATTAATACATACAGATGGGGTCCCAGTCTCTAACTGAAGTTGTTTTCTTTGGATTTCACAGGAACAGTTCGAGTCTATATGTCGTGAGACAGAGGTGCACGTTTTATGTTTTCCTATTGTATATATTACATGAAATATGGCTTTGATAGTGGAAGGTTGTGAGTGCAATTTCTGCTATATGATACCTGGTCAATTTCTGCCTCTTTTTTTTTCTCAGACAAAAGTCAATAAGCAGTTCTAGACATATTTTTTTATTCTTCTATGCAACAATAGGAATAGGTGCATTTGAAACACTAAAGGGTTACTGCTATGTAGTTCCTACAGAATTGTGTTTTGGATCTGCTAAATCTCTGGGTGGGGGCATTTTACCATTGAAGCAATTCGCAGCAAGGGTTCATTTGATAATTGCAATTGCTGCAATTGGATATATTACATTGATTTGAAATATCACGAGTCACTGAAGCCATGGAGTCTGAGGGTTTCTCACCGGCTCAAAAGTGGAGAAAAACCTTGACAGTAGAAAGGAAAGATCTACTATTGGAGGAGATCATTTACCAAAAAGAGTTCACGATAAAGGTAAGAGAAGGAAGAAGAGGAACTATACTGCTAGTGGGTGAAGCTGTAACTTGGTTTCAAAGCTCTCTGGATGGAGCAGTCCGTGTAAGCTGGTGTGAAATATGGAATAGTACCTTCAAACATTTAAGAAGAGAATATTTTTCTGAGAGAAGAAGAAATGCCAAAGGTTGGTTTGAGATCATCCAATGGTGGCTTTTACAGTACCAGAACCAAAAATTTCACTGGTAGGGGAGAAAGGAATCTGGGAGAAGAGATTAGTCCTCTCTACGAAGACAGAGGTTAAAGATTGGAAAGGGCTATTAGAGGAGGTGACGGTGAAACTCAGGCTCCATGGAACTGTCATCCTAATCCCCTTCAACGTAAAGAAAGCAGTTTTAAACGTGGGGGAGGCAACGGTCGATTTCACCACTGTGGAAACAAAGGAAGGAACAGTGGAGTGGTGATCGAAAACTGGTGTCCCTTGGCTAACACGGTAACTTCTGTTGATGGGAGGTTCAAACTGAAACTTCTGGGCTTACCCTTTCACTTATGGCAAAAAACCATCTTGGAAAAATTAGTCCTGGCAATGGGTGGTGTTCTACTCTCTTGTAAGACTTTGGACCTGAGAGCAGTTCATCTAAGGGTAGCTAGTATAAAGCTTGAAGCTGTGCCAAGAGCGACCAATCTTTGTGTAGAAGGATACTGGTACAAGATCTGGGTCACCTCAGAAGTCGAAGCATCGCAGTGGTGCAGGAGGGTGGAGCTTGAAGACGACAATGACCTGGCGAGGTGGATAACACTTGGTGGGAATAAGGAGAAGATGCATGGACACATCAGCAAACTTGGGGAGGAAGTTTTTTCTAGAAAAAAGGAAATGCTTTCTAAGGAAACTGAAAAGTTAAGCTCAAAAAGTTGAGTAGATTTTATGGAAAAGTTTTGAAATAAATTTGAAATTAAAAAGAACATTACCGCCCATCTGTCCTTTACAGATTTGGTTAGAAGGGGAACTTGGTCAGATCTGGGGAGGGGCCCAATCAGAGCTGGAATTGGAAATCACACAACCCGCTCTGACCCAACCGGCCTAATAGTGGGTCAGCTTGGGTCGACCCTTAAGGAGGTCCATGGAGCTACAGCCGACTCATGTGACTCTTTAAGTGGTTACGTGAGTCGAGTATCAAAGAAGGCGTTGGAGGACCATAATGATGGTCTATCTTCTTCCCCATAGGTGCTGCAATCGGGTGAAGGCAAAATATTTTCGGGTAGACAGAATACAGAGAGGCAAAACTTGCGTTGGCTTCCAGTTGCTAAATCCAAAGAAGGGGACCAGGATAAAATGGGAGAGGATAGGCTAAACCCAAGATATTTCAGGGCTAGGAGAGATGAAATTGAAGAAGAGGACGGAGGTTGGGTAAGTTGCGATTCCTCAGAGGATGACTTTGAGACAGAGTTGGAAGCAGAAAACCAGATTGCCAAGCGTAAAGGGGAGTTGGAAGACACTTTCAGTACAGCCATTATATTTTCTGAGGATGCAGAAGGCGTTACCTCTGCGCTGATTGTGGGGTGCAAAATGATGCCGAGCGCTCCTTGGATGCAAGGGGGGAAAACCGAACCTGGGGTAGGAAAGAATCAAGCCAGAAAATGAACAGTGGGCAGGGGACCTGTGAGAAGATAACGGTGGATCATCAGACTTCAAATATGGATATGTCAGGAGGGGATGAGCGACAGAGCCTCGGAGGTACTAACAAGGGTGAATCATGTCTAGGTTGTGCCCTACAAAATCCTATTCTGTTGTCGAATTGTGAAACCCAGCCGGCTGTTGAATGTCCTTTTTCAGACACAGGTATGTTTGTGATTTTTGGTTTTGATACTAATTCTTGCTCTGATCTTGATGCTTGTTTCCCAGATTCCAGACTTGACTCATTGCCGATTACCCATGGATTAGAAGTTGACAAAGTTGGTGGTGGTGGGGAGATACAGGAGGAGGGCGAGAGGGAGGAGAGGTTATGGAATTTAATAATGGAAGAGCTTGATAATCTGACTAGGGTGGTATTAGAGAGGGAGAAGGGAAAAGAGAGTAAGGATGGTGGGTCTAAAGTAGCTAAAGAAAAGATGGAGCAGGAGAGGGTGAGTGGAGGCATAGAGAGGACAGAAGAGAAAAGACTAAAAAGGGAGATGAAAAAGATGATTCTCTAGCTGAATTTGTAGAAAAGCTAGGTTGCAAGATTAAAAATCTGAATGAGCTGAAAGTGTATTTGAAGAATAAAAAAGAGGAAAGGGAAGATGAGAAAATGAAGGTTAAGTGAAGTTGAAATTGGATGTGGAGGGGGACAAAGAATTTAGTGAAAGGAAGGGTAGGGGAAGGAAAGGAGGATTGTAGGGAAGAAGGTTTAGGGGTGGGGGTAGACTATGTTTGGAGTAATGAAGATTGTGAGAGGCTTGGGGAATGTAAGAAAGAGAACTTTAATAAAGGAGGTCCTAAGGAAAGAAAATCCAGACATCTTTTTAGTCCAGGAATCTAAACTGATGACCTTTGACAAGAGATGGGCTAGAAGTGTGTGGAGAGCAAATGGCCTTAGTTAGGTAATGAGCCCTTCTTGAGGTTCATTTGGAGGGTTAGTCACCTTGTGGAAAGATGAATTTTTGGAGGGAGTTGAAAAACTAATTGGAAGGTTCTCAGTTTCTGTCAAATTCAAGCATGTGGAAGATGGGTTTGAATGGGTCTTAACTAATGTTTATGGCTCCACTGGCTACAGACAAAGGAATAAATTGTGGGAAGAACTAGGAGATATTAGAGGTTTGTGGGAAGGGCCTTGGTGTCTAGGAGGGGACTTCAATGTGACTAGGTTTAGTGAGGAGTGCAATAAGGTGAGGCAAAGGAGTACTACTAGTATGAGGAAGTTTAATGAGTTTATCAATGCCTTTGAACTCAAGGAACTGGACCTCTTACGTAACAGCTTCACCTGGTCAAATCTCCAAGCTGAACCAATTTGCTCCAAATTAGACAAATTCCTATTTACCGCAGATTGAAAAGAGCATTGGGGAGACCTGGTGTCAAGGGCCTTACTAAGAGTTACTTCCGATTATTGGCCAATTCTGCTATGCAAGTCTGAATTTGGAAACAGTGGGCCTTCCCCTTTCAGATTTGAAAATATGTGCCTGCTTCACTCGGACTTTAAAGAGAAAGTGAAGAAGTAGTGTAACGAGAGTAATCCGAGGGTAAATTGGGTAGGTATGAAATTCCACTGGAAGTTAAAAGAGCTGAAAGTCAAAATCAAGGAATGGAATGTAAAGGGACAAAGAGTTGAGGAAAAATCTGGAGGATATACTTTTTAAAGAAGAAATTAGTTGTAAGCAAAAATCCAGACACAAATGGGTGAAGGAAGGAGATAGGAACACAAAATTTTTCCATGCTATAGCCAATGGCAGAAGAAAGAAGAACTCCATTTATAAGTTGGTGGTTGATGGTACAATTTTAACCCAACAGAATGAGATTGCTGTGGTTTTTTTGGATCATTTCAAATATATCTTTAGAAGAGCTCTAAATGAGAGATTAAGGATTGAAGGCTTGGATTGGCCCATGCTCCCGGAAGAGTTGATTTGAGTGGTTGGAAAGAGAGTTTGAGCTGGAAGAAATATGGGATGCCATCTTTTCTATGGATAGAACTTGTTTGCTGAAAGTTTATAGCTGAAGTAGTAGAAGAGAGGTGAAGGCAAACAAGTKCTGAGAATRTCRARCTRAGTAAYCCAGTCGAYAGTACTATTATTTATAGTAGATTACAATACAGTGTTACATGAAATGTTTGGAATGCCCCTGATTAGTGATGGGACACCCAGACTGCTTAAAACATTAAACAGAATTAGGCCCAATAACAAAGGCCCAGTACCTAACAGCTTAAAACCCAATACTAACTAACATGTACACTTATCAGCCGRACCAACAATAMATAAAAACAGTCAACTTAACACTCCCCYTCAARCTAAGCATGGATGTCAGTCATGTTTAGCTTGCCAAGAAGGTCCAAGAATTTTGTTGCAGCCAACCCTTTAGTCAACACATCTACAATCTGCATCTCGGATGGAGTATAAGGAATGCATAGTTCTCCCAAGACTATTCTCTCTCTAACAAAATGTTGATCAATCTCAATATGTTTTGTCCTGTCATGTTGCATTGGGTTATTTGCAATGTTGATGGCAGCCTTGTTGTCACA